CTGACCCAGTGGGAGAGCCACAGTGACGGCCCCAATCAGGTGGATGCCCAGGACCAGCAGAGCATCTCTGGGCCAAGAGAAGCCTCCCTGTGGGGTCTGTCCTGCCCCCCGCTTCCTGGAGCTCCCTGGGGCCAGCAGCTCCATGGCCAAGGCCACTCAACACCCTCCGAAAGTAGCCACTGTGGCAGAGCTTGGCCAGGAGCCACGTGTGTGCATGGACACCCACGGGTCACAGATCTGGTGGATTTGCTCAGGTGGTCTGCTGGGGTGCTGGGAGCTTGTGTGCCCCTTGGAGCCTCGCCTGTGCCCGCCGTGCCATGCCATGCCATGCTGTGCCATGCTATGCCATGCCATGCCATGCCAGCAGCAGGGTCAGGAGCTGGGGGACTGCTGCCCGTCCCAGATGAGAGGGACACCCCCAGCTGAACCCCGAGGGCTCAGGGCAGCCCCAACACACTCCCACTGTGGGGCTGCACCAAGGTGAGGTCGGGCTGGCTGTGTCACCGTGGCCCTGGGGTGAGCCCAGGTCCTCTCTGGGGACACAATGGGGTCCCACCAGGCACGTGCTCTCAGGAGGGTCACCAGGAATCAGAACAAGCCCAGTCCTGGCAGGAATGGCCCTCCCATGGAGTTTGGGCAGGACTTGTGTGAGGTATCCCAGGACCTGCTGGGTGCAGTGACACAGTCCCTGCCCAGGACCCCAACCCCACCACGGGGGCTGAGGGGCTCCCATGGAGACCGGTGGGGGCTCGACAGGAGACTGACACAGCGAGAGCCAGCCAGTGCTCATCACAGACTGGATTTACTGGGAACTGAGGGAGACACAGAGACCCCTGTGGTCAGCAGAGGGTGAGGTGGTGGAGGTGGGCTGGAGGAGACGGGTGCTCATCCTGTAGCTGATGGATCCATCCGTGTCCATCTGTCCAGCTGCCCATCTGTCTGTCTGTTCAGCACAGGGTGGTGCGGGATGGCTGCACACAGGGGTTCCTCAGCCCTGGTCCGGGCAGGGGCTAGGTGAATCCTGTGGGGGAGACAGGAGCATCCATGTCCCAAACCCTCACCTCTGAGCACACTGGGGTGCAGCCGTTGGCCCCACAGCAGGGCCCTGGGGGCAAGGGGACCCCAACACACTGGTCACCCCTCCTGGGGGAGCTTTTGGGGGATTTTCTGGTCACTTCTGCAGCGTGCTGTGTGGGGAGATGGCACTGCTCTGTGGGAAGCTGAACCTCAACCATGGCCACGCTTGTCCCTCTACACGCGGCCACACATCCTCCCTCAGCCCCATCCCACCGTGTCCCCGTGCCCACCCCGTGCTCACCTGTAGACACCAGCCGGGCCCAGAGGCAGCAGAACCCCAGGAGCAAGAGCAGCGACAGCAGCCTCATGGTGGGGGCAGGCAGCGTGGGGGCACCTGCCTGGGCAGGGGTTTAAATCCTCCTGGGGCTGGGAGTTGGTCCCAGTGACCCTATCCGTGCCCCAGTGCCTGGCACGCTCTGTCCGAGCGTGAACCCCCCCTTCTCCTCCCTCTCGTGGGCTGCTGCCACTGGACAAGCTGCACAGGGAGGCATGAAGGTGCTGCTGCTCGGCGTTGGGTTCCATGAAGACCCCACAGAGCTGTGCTGTGCCATGCTGTGCCATGCTGTGCCACAAGCCAAGAGCAGCCAGCGCAGCTCCCCTCTATGGGAGGAAGGCATGGGCCAGGTGGCAGTGAGGGGACAGGGGACCCCGGTGTGAGGCTGGCCCTGCCGAGGCGGCGGAGGTGGCTCCCTGGCCGGGTGCTGTGGAGCAGCCCGTGGTGCCCTGGCAGCTCTCCGGGCATTGTTCTGCCTCTGGGAACAATCGCTGGCTCCTGAGGGACGTACTGTGACCGGACACGGTCCACAGCCCTGCACTGCCACCAGCCCCTCAGCCCCACACCTCCTGGACAGTGGGTGCCCACCCAAGCCTCACGCCTTGGGGTGGCAGCTGGGGACCACAACTGGCTGGGGGGCACAGCACTGGGGATGGAGCTGGAGGCTGTATGGGACAAAGGGGCTCTGCTCGGGCACCAGGGCTGTGGAGCTGTAGCATCGGGTCCCATGTCCTCTCCAGAGCTGGGGTGGGTGCCTGGATCCCTGTCACACGGTGCCAGAGCTGCCTTTTGCCTCCTGCTCCCTTCCACGGGGCTGGCAGGACCGGCTACCCTGTCCCCTGTGGCTGCCCACTGCTGGGGACTCCGGGCAGGGTCATGGATCTGCACCAGCACCGTCACTTGGAGGGACATGACCCTTCCCAGGGTCTGGCTGCACTTCCCACCCATGGCTGCCCCCACGCCCGGACCCCCATGGATATTGCTTGGACCCTGGTTTTCCTGGGGCTCCTGAAGCCACCCCTGATGCCGCACTGCTCGGGGGTATCTACAGAGGTGCCACAGGCTGCAGCGGTGGCAGGGACGGTTCTGGGACCTGCTGCCTGTCCCCGGGGCTACGTCGTGCCATCGCCGCGTGGGGCTGCAGTGGGGCTGTGGCTGCAGTGTGTCACCAGGATGGGAGCGTCGGAGCCGCCGGGGCTTTCCCTGCCGTCTCCCTTCCGGGAGCGCCCGTCCCTGCGAGAAGCAGGAGGGCTCTGGCACGCTCGGCCGGGCAGGCTGCCTGCGTCTGCCTCTGCGTGTGCACGTGCAAGCCAAGCCGGCCAGGTGTGGACACGTGTGCGCGTGTGCGGCCCATGCTCCGTGTCTGTGTGCAGGGGTGGGTGTGTGTACAGTCCATGGCTGCCTGTGCCACCTAAACCCTGCGTGCCTGTGTGTGCCGGCAGCTGGCTGTGTGGGGACCCTCTCCCATCGGTGTGTCCCCTGTGTGAGGGACGGAGGTGACACGCAGGTGGGATGACCCATCCCGGGAGCACGTGGAACTGCGAGAAGAGGAGCAGTGGGGAGAGCTGGCTCCACTGTACTGGAGTGTCCCTGCTCCATGTAGTAGCTGTCCCTGTCCCTGGGTGGGCAGAAGGGACAGTGCCTGGCTCGTGTCACCCCCGGGGAGCATCATTCTCAACTGATCGGTGGGCTCCATGTGGGGCCAGCTGGGACTGGGGGGGACCTGCTCTGCCCCTTCGGTCCTCCAGCACCTCTCCTGCCATGCACCCTGGTCCCAGGATGGCCATGCCACCATTCTGGTGGCACAGTGCCGTCTCTGTCCCTGTCCCCACTGGGTGCCCGCCCTGGGAGGTGCCACATTCCTGGCTGCTCCCTGGGCCGGGCTGCCCCAGTCACTATTTCCTCCACGGTGGCCGCGGTGGCAGGGCAGGGGTCACCAACACAGGTCCCCCGTGGAGCATGATTTCTGCTGTGTGCAACCCAACATCTGCCTGGAAGCAGCCCCCGCTTCGTCCCCTGTGATACCCCAAACCCCAGCACCCCTGGGACTGGCTCCTGTGTCCTCTGTAGTGTCCTCCTGGCTTTCCCATGGCATCCCCACCGGTGCAGGGACAGCAGGGGCTGCTCTGGAAGAGACGTCAGTCGTTACAGTGATCACCCGGGTGGCTGAGATACTGCGGAGAGATAGCAGGAAAAATGTAGCCCCGGTGGATTTTGGTGCCATGGTCCTTCCCTCCTGTAGGGCTGGGAGCCTCTGGGCCACCAGGGATGTCTCAGGCAGCTCAAGGTTGTGGGAGATACACTGAGGTCATGGCTCTGGGACCACCGCAGTGCCCATGGAGGGGTCCTCTTCCCAGCGCCCACCATGACCCTCTGCCCCCCAATTGCCACCAGCATGTCCCTCCTGCTCTCTCCTGCCCCTTTGCCACATCACCATGTCCCGTGCCAGGACACTCTGTCCTGGGGCTTCAGCGGGGCTGTGGTGGAGCACAGGGGGGTCATGGCATCTCCCTCCAAACCCCAGCCCGGGTCCAACTTTCCTGGCCTCTCCCCGCGGAGCTTTCCTCGCCCTCCACTTCCCCCGTGGGACAGTAATTACGGCAGTAATTAGGAAGACAATTATTCCTGCTGAATTAGAACAGCTTAATCTGTTTCTCCCTCCTTTTGGCAGGTTTCACCCCACGCCCGCCCACAGCTGCCGGCGGGATGAGGCCACCTGCCTGCTGCCTGGCCCAGCGCCGGGAGCCCTGCGCTGCTGTGGGTCTGACCCCGGGCTGTGTGTGGGGCAGGCTGTGAGCCATGTCCCGTCCCCAGGGGCTGCCAGCCACACCGGCACAATGCAGCCACCGGACCCCGATCCGCTGCCAGGAGCAAGGGGCTGCCAGGGGGGACAGGGCATGGCTCTGTGCAGGCAGCCCCCCAGGAGGGGAGTGGGTGATGGGGATGGCCCCAAACTGAGAGAGGGTGATGAAGTGGGTGGCAAAGGATCAATGGTTCCTGCAGGGTGGGAAAGGACAGGAGCATCACCATCCTGCCGGACCTTCCTTCCTCAGCAGGCAAGGTGGTACCCACAGGCTCAGCCCCACATGTGGGACTGTCCTGCCTGGGATGTTCTCCATCAACTGGGAGGGAGCGTGGGAGAAAGGGAAGAAGGGACCCGTCCCATACATGACCCTTGAGCAGCCTTTCCTGGAGGACCTGCACCGCAGGGAGAGCAGTGCCATGTTGTGTGGTGCCTCAGACCCTTCCCTGTCTGATGGCTGTGCCAGAGCTGGTGGCTTTCCATGGCCTGGCACAGCATTGCCACGTTCACCATCAGTGGAGAGGCCAACACAGACCTCCCCTTGCCCATCCCCATCTCCTGCTTTGTCCCCAAGGGGCTGCGGGTGGGCACCGATGGTGCCTCCAACCAAGCCCGGGCATGCTGCTGCCACCCGGCTGGGCTCATCAAGGGCCACGCTGGGGCAGCCGTCCCGTCCTACCGGTCCCCCCGGCTCGAGGGCTGTGGCCGGGATGCCGCTGGGGAGGCCGGGCCCTGCCTGGGTGCGGCTCGTTACCCGCATGGCAGGAATTATCTGGGCTGGGGAGCCAGCCCCGCTCCCTCCGCCCCACCGGCGCACCTTAAATCCCAGCCCGCCGCGCCCGGGATGCAGACCTGGCTGCCCAGGGCACCATGGAGCTGCCGTCCGGCCGCCTCCTCCTCCTCCTGGCAGCCCTGCTCCCCCTCGCCGCACGGTCTGGCCCGGCCCCACACACGGCTGGAAGAGAGGAGCCGGGATTGGGTAAGTGGGGACAGGGATGCTCCGGGTGCCGCTGCCACCCGGTGCTCCCCACTGCTCTGAGGGGTGCCGGGCATCCACGGGGGAATGGGGATGTGGGGCGATCGAGATCCAGCCCTGGGGAGTTGGGGGGCTGCTCAGCCCCCCTGCTCTATAGCCCTCCCCAACGTCCTGGCCACTGTGTCCCGCAGTGAAGCCCGGGTACTGCTACCACATCGCCGAGGTGGAGAACCCGCTGGACAACGACTGCGTCGCCTGCCGCAGGGACATCTCCTGCTCCCGCTGCACTGGTGATGCCAGTTGCCCCGGTGCCACCAAGTGCTGCCCCAGCAAATGCGGCTACACGTGCCAGGAGCCAGTGCTGGGTAAGGGCTCGGTGCCACGCCGGTGGGGCTCTGGAGGGGTGGCATGGGGAGCACAGGGGTGAGCCAAAGAAAGGGGGCTCCCTGGGGTGCCCCTGAGCTCTGCCAGGTTCTGCAGACCCCAGGGCGTAGCGGGGCAGCACTTGGGTTGCTGGAGCGTGGGGCTGTGGGGCAGGCGGGCACAGAACTGGCTGGCAGGGAAAGGTTGGGTGGTGAGAGGGGACCGGAGCTGGGCAGACTTTTCCGAGGGCCCTGGGAGTGCCGAGCCCGGTGGTGTCCCCATCCTGTCCCTGGCTCAGCCAGTCCCTCTTGGACCACACAGATTTCTGCTACCTGCCCTCCGTCTGCGGCAGCTGCAAAGCTCTCTTCCGCCGCTTCTTCTTCAACGCCTCCAGCCAGCAGTGCGAGGAGTTCATCTACGGCGGCTGCGGCGGCAACAGGAACAACTTCGAGACCAAGGGCGAGTGCTTCCAGGCCTGCTCCCACGTCGGTAACTAGCCATGTGCCGTGTGCCACGTGCCACCCTCAGTGATGTCCAGCCCGGCCCCGCTCCTGACCCCCCATCTCTCAGTTCCAGGTGCCCGGTAGCACCCACCTGGGGAGTGTGGCAGCCTCTGCATGGCCCCTGCCTGGGGAAGCTGCTGCTGGTGGCCGCCATCCCTGTCCCCACGGGGAGATGTTCCTCATGGGGATGGTGGCAACAAGTGCTGCTGCCGGGGTGGCCGTGCCAGTGGCTGTGGCTCGCCTGGGGATGCTCGCCAGCCCGAGGGCAGGGACGTGCGCCCGCAGTGACATGGCTGTGCCCTCCTGCGCCGTGGTGCCCAGCCGGAGGAGCCCGACACTCCCCTGGGACTGTGACACTTCAATACAAGGACAGGTCCTTGGATGAGCACGTCTGGGTCTTGTCCTTCCTGCCTGTGTGGGCAGGAGCAGGCAGTGCCCATCCCTTGCTGGGACAGGGCGATGGGTGCCCTGGCCACTGCCCCACAGCTCCCACTGTCTCTGGATGAGCTCCCAGCCCCAACTCTGCCCTCAAGCTGCCAACGTGACCTGGTTGGGAGCTAAAGTGACCTAACGGAGGTCACTCCCCTCCTAACGGAGGCCCCCGCCTCGATGGATGCCAGGGGTGGTGCCCATCCCACAGCTTGCGGGTCTGTGTCTGCACCACTTTGCTGGCCCCGTGGCACTGACCCCAGCCCTGGTGGGACCACCCATTCCCCAACAAGCCATGGGTGATGCTGGGGCTGCTGCCAGAGCACAAGGGGCCATCCCGGGGCTTGGTGGGGCCAGCCTGGCACTGCTGAGACTTGGGGGTCGGCTGGAGGTGGCCACACACGTGCTTTATTGCTGGAGGTGGTGGGGAAGGGAAAGGCCAGCTGGGGCTGGTGACCACCCCATGTCCCCTAATGAAGGTGTTTTCCTGACACGGAGGAGCTGCTCTCCCATCACACAGCGTCTGAAAAGGAGGACATGCTTTTAGGGAGCCCTGAGGCTGTGGGGGTGAGGGACCGGTGGCCACGTTTGCAGCCAAGCACGGCCGGTTCTGGCAAGAGCTTCATCCCACTCCATGTCCCTTCAGGTCCCCTTGCCCTGGAGGTGTCTCTCTGCCTGGAGCAGAGCGATGGGGCGGCAGCAGGAGCCAGCCCTGCAGTGATGCCGGAGGATGCTGAGGGCAGTGCCCCTCACACAGGTCTGGCTGGCACCCCACGTGCCCCGGTGCCAGCCCTGCTGCTGGCCCCAGCTCAGTGGCCCTGGCCCCCCTTACCACCAGGCACCCGCGTGCAGACGTGGCCGCAGCCATTGCTACAGCACTTGTGTCCCCAGGGACACTCCTCATCGAGGCTGCACAGGTCCAGGCACGTCCCACGGCCTCTGGGGATGGGGCATGCTCCCTCTCTGCCTGCAAGGAAGAGCACCCCGCTGTGGGCAACCCGACTTGGGGCACCCCATGGCTCCCCGGGGGCAATGTCTGGGTCCTGGCTGGCTGAGCTGTGTCTCACCTCCGGGGGTGTCCGTGCAGACGCGGCCGCAGCCGGTGCGGGTGCACCTCTGTCCCCAGGGACACTGTGAGTCGGCCTCACACTCCTCCCGGCACCGCGTGGCACCGTGCCATGGCACAACCGCGGCATCGCGCTCTACGGGCAGGAGAGGACCGTCACACGGCGGCTCTGAGCTGAGGCCGTGCGTGCTCATCGCTTGCATGGGAAGAGGGGGAGGCAGGGAAAGAAGGACAGGGCACACCATGTCCCCGGGAGCCAGGAGGGGCAGGACCCCATGGGCACAGCCGCCTCGGCAGCCCCCGGCATGGCACTCCATGGTGGTGTGGGGTCCTCGTTAGGGAGGGAAGGCTAGGATGCCCCCATGGGGTCAGTGCCAGGGGGACCTTTGGGCTCTGTCCCCACTGGGTTCTGCCAGGTGGGGAGACCCGCACCCCGGAGCAAGGGTCTGACCTTGCAGGGAGGCTGGCATGCAGACATGGCCGCAGCCGTTGCTGCAGCACTTGTGGCCCCAGGGACACTCCTCGTCGAAACTGCAGAGGTCCAGGCACGTCCCCCCTTCCCTGGGGATGGGGCACACTCCCACTCTGCCTGCAAGGCAAACACTCGGCTGGGGGCACCCCGCTGGGAGCACCCCACCATGGGGGCACCCCAGGGTGGCCCTGCATGGCTCCCTGCAGGCCTGGCTAGCTCTCACCTCCAGGGATGGCCATGCAGGTGCGGCCGCAGCCGGTGCTCGTGCACCTCTGTCCTTGGGGACACTGTGAGTCGGCCTCGCACTCCTCTGTGCACCGGCTGCCAGCCCTGTCCTGGCTCTCTGCAGGGGCACAGTGACCCGCTGTCACCTGGCTGCCCTGGGGGGCTGCTGGATGGGTCCCTCCCGAGGACCTGCCCCTGGTACCTCTGGGCACGGCCATGCAGTCCCAGCCGCAGCCGGTGTCACAGCACTTCTCCTCTCGCCGGCAGACGCTGTCATCCAGGCACCGGTTCCTGTGCCTGCGCCGGGGGTCCCAGCACGGCTCTGCCCGGGGGCACTCCCCGGGGTGATCTGTGGGAGGAGGGCACCCGGGAGAAGGGTGTGGGGTCCCAGCCCCACTTGGGTGCCATTGGCCTTTGTCGGTGGCCAGGTTGCCCACGCTCACCTTGGGCAGGGCGGGTGCAGCGCATGGCGCAGCCAGAGAAGCAGCACTTCTCCTGGCGGGGACAGTCCCTGTCGTGGGTGCAGGAGTCCTCCTCCGAGCACAGCTCCGGTGTCTGTCGCATCCTCACCCTCGGGCACTGGCCGGGTTTGTCTGAGAGGGGCGGGAAGGGGCAGCGGGGGCAGGGGCAAGCACCCCCCCAGAGCTGTGGGCACCATCCAGCCTGACGGCTGCACCCCAGCAGGTCCAGGTGCCTGCCCTGCAGCAGCACTGCCCCACATCCAGCCCTGAGGGAGGTTTGCCAGTGTGCCCAGCAGCGGGCAGCACATCCATCCCGGTGACTGTCCCCTCACCTTGTTCGGGGGCCGAGCACACGTAGCCACATCTGGTCCTGCAGCACTTCTCAGCCCCTGGGCACTGCCAGTCCCCAGCGCAGGTGGTGCCACACGGGGCCGCGGTGCTCAGTGCCTCCTCGACCAAGGGACAGATGCCTGGCTTCTCTGGGGGACAGGAGGCAGTGGGGCTGGAGGGGATGACAGCAGGTCTCCCCTGCCCAGACCCACACCCCCAGAGCTGGGAGGGACCCCCTGCCCACTGCTTCCCCACTCTGCCCGGTGTGGGGCTGAGGGGCTCGCACCTCGGGATGGGGGCAGGCAGACGTAGTCGCAGCCACGCAGGCAGCACTTCTCCTCGCCGGGGCACTCAGCATCGCGCTGGCACCAGGCTCTGCAGTCATAGCTGGGGAACAGCCCGGCGCGGGTCGGGCAGAAGCCAGCCTTGCCTGTGGGACATGGCACTGGGTGGCTGTGGTGCCCCCGGGATGGCTGCATGGACACACACCACAGCCCAGCTGCCCCATGGGTTGTGCAGCCCCCTCGCACCACAGCCCCCTTGGCACCACGGCCCCGGGCACACCTTGTGTTACAGCACGGCTCTGTCCCCAGCAGCGGGGACAGGGACACATCTGTCCCTTCCATCAATCCTGGGCTCCCACCCAGCCCCGCTCTCCCCACTGAGCCCCAGCTCAGCAGCAGGGACCCCAAGGTGGCCGGGGTTCTCCTGCCCCCCCTCACCTTGGCTGTGTGCATGGCACCCCCGGCTGCACTGCTGGTGACAGCACACCTCGGATGGGGGACAGTCCTGGTCCTGATGGCATCTCTGCTGGTGGGGTGGCTGTGGGGTGGCTGGGACATGGTTGGTGTCCTCTGTGCCACGGAGCGGGGCCCGGCCGGCGGTGTCAGCAGGGAGGAGGTGACAGTGGGACGGTGGCCTCGCTGGAGGGTGTCCTCGCTGTCCCCTCCCCACCCCAGTGCCCAGTCTCTCACCCTTCTCTGCTTGTCATGGGTAATGCCCCAGCGACACCACAGCCCCGAGCACCGTGTCCCCCTGTACAGGTGTCCCAGCAATGCACGGGGGACAGCAACAAGAGGCTGGGGACAGGCAGTGGCTCTTTTGCCAGCCCTGAGAGAGCCCACCCCAGTGAGCACAGGGTGAGGGACCCCCGCTGTGCCACGGCTCTGTGCCTCGGGGTGGTCATGGACCCATGGCATCACCCCTGGTCCCAAGCCACAGCCCTGCCCGCGCTGCCCGTCCCGTTCCTGTCTCACCGGCTGGGGCTGCTGGCACGCACTGGTGGCCACAGCTGCTGTTGCAGCATTTCTGCGCGTTGGGGCAGTCGCTGTCACCTCGGCATCGCTCCCGGCATGGCCCCGGCTGTACCGCGGGGCACTGCCTGGGTTTGGGTTTGTCTGGCAAAGCAGAGCAGATACGAGGCTTCAGCATCCCTGACCAGCTGCCCTGCCCGCCCCTCGTGCTCCCCAGCCCCTCGCCGTGGCCATGCACACCCAGAGCCCACGTCCCGGTGCTGGGGTTCACTGGGAGCCACCAGGAGCTGCTGGTGTATGGGGAGTGGCGCGTGGCCACCACAGGAGGTGGGGAGGTGGCCAATATCCAGGGCAGGGAGGGGACCTGTGGTGACCCTGGCTGTCCCGCTGGCCCCGATGGAGTCCTTACCCTGCACCGGCTCCAGGCAGGCAAGGCCACAGCCCAGCGGGCAGCACTTCTGCCGTCCCAGGCAGTCCTTGTTCTCCAGGCAGGGGAAGGAGCAGGGGTAAAAGAGCCCCTCGGGGGCCACCGCTGGGCAGGCACCGGGTTTCTCTGCAACACCGAGCGGTGTGGGGCCGAGAGATGAGGCTGCACCAGCGGTGTCCCGGGGCAGTGCTGGGAAACCCACCCAGGCTGGTCCCCCCATCTCCCAACCCCTCCACGTGCCCCATCCCAGCCTCAGGAGCTGCGGGCAGGAGGCTGCCAGCAGCCCATGGAGAGCTTCTCTGTGGCAATGGGGATGGCACAAGGATGGGGACAGGGATGGGGGCTGCCCCAGGATGGAGGTGGTGCTGGTGGCCATGCCGCGGTGCCGTACCTTCTGCTGGGGGGGTGCAGCGGAGCCGGCACTCCCGGGGGCAGCACTTTTGCCATCCGGGGCAGCTGGAGTCGTTGGCACAGAGGGGGGGCTCTAGCTGCAGGCAGCGAGTGAAGTCCCGCGGGCACCTCCCTGGCTTCTGCTGATCCCCTGTGCCAGGACAGAGGTGTCAGGGCAGCACCGGGTGGCAAAGCTCCGTCCCCTGGGGAGCGGAATGTGGGTCCCCACTGAAGGGGACAGGGGACCGGAGAGGGGAGCACAGCTCTGGTGCCACGGCAGGAGAGAGAGTGCCATGGAGCAGGGCTGGAGCCTTCCCTGTGGCACAGCCCCAGGGCTGCCATACCCCTACACCAAGACTGGGATGGCACAGCATGGCACAGCACGGGGCTGTGTGTGCCCTCCCAAGGCAGCAAGTGCCACAAGGAATGTCACTGGCCCTGCCAGGGAGAAGCCAGCACTGAGGCAGCACTGGCTGGAGGTCAGGATCCATCCCTGAGCATCCTGCTGCCCCGTGGCTCCTCAGTGCAAGCAGCCAGCACGCTCCTCGCCACTGCCTCCTGCTCCTCTTCTGCCTCCTCCTCATCCTCCTGGCACCTCATCTTGGCCATGCTGGGAAAATCAGGACAGCCCTGCCTTTGGCACAGGTGAGTTCCAGCTGGAGCTGGCACCTGTGCCCCGCTCCTGCCCACCCAGGTGGGAGATGCCAAGGGAGCAGCAGTTTCTGCAAACACCCTTTGCTGGCTCCTGGCAGGGTCGCGCTGTTTGGGCTGCAAACAGAGATGCTGCCGGGAGGTTTCACTCCAAACAGCAGCTGTTTGGTTAAAACAAAGAGAAAACCCGGCTGTTGTCTCGGGGCAGAGCAGCTGCAGCTGGGCACAGCCACCCCCGGCATTGCACCCCCGGCGGGGGGGGTGGTCCTGGCAGCAGGGGTCTGTGCCCAGGAAGTGGTACCCACAGCCCAAGACCCTCTGTTGGGGTTTGGGTCCATTCCTGTGGTCGGTCCATGCATCCCTGGTCCCCTGCCCAGCCCCTGCCAGTCCCTGACAGCCCCCTCCTTGTTCCTACCTTTGCTGCACAGCCCCAGCCTACCCAGAGACCCCCCCTCCGTGCTGGGCTCTGCGGGCACAGGCAGCCCAAACCCAGGTCTGCCAGTGCTGGTGCCGGGGTGCCCCAGGAGGCTGGGAGGGAGGTGCCCGGGGTGCATGTGGGGGTGCAGGGTACACAGGCTCCCTGAGACAGCGGGGCCGCGGGGCAGGCATTGCAGCTGGGAAGGACACCGTCCCTGCCAGCGTGTGCCAGGCAGGGACAGAGGGGACATGGCAGGGGCACAGGGTGGGTGGGGGGTAAGGAGCTGGCCCCAGGATGCCCGTGCCCAGCAGCTGCCGGGTTTGCCTGCTGGTACTCACCACCTTCCTCCTCCCCACCTTCCTCCTCCGATGCAGCCCCCAGCTCTGCCCTGAGGATGAGGAACCCCAGGAGGAGGAACAGCCCTGGCTTCATGGTGCTGCCGGGAACGTTGTGCGTGTCCGGAGCCGAGCTGGGGCTGTGTTTAAAGGCTGTGGCAAGGGGTGATGAGGGTGCCGGGGCAGCTGCAGCCGGGCTGCCAGCCGTGGCAAGGCTGGCTGTGCCACGGGCAGGAGGAGCAGGAGGAGGGGCAGTTCCCAGAACCTGCTGGTGCCCCGCCAGCCATCCCGCTTATCTCCGGTCCGCTTTTGGGTCAGGGTGACCCACTGGGCTGGGGAGGGCAACTGGGGTCAGACGGGTGCCGGCCCCTGTGGCACACAGCCCCAACCGGCTGCAAGCCCCTGCCTGGGTTTCCATCCAGCTCTGCTTGTCCCTGTCCCCCTTGGGGTGTGAGCTGTGGATGGACCCCACCCCTGGGAGCTGCTGGAGGGGCTTTGCCACCATGGTGCTTCCTGGCACCATCAGGTGGGAGAGGTGTCCCAGCACGATGATGGGGCTGGGCTGGGACTGGGGAGTGAGCAGGTCCTGCTGTGTCCCCTGGCACGTGGGAGCTGCTCCCTGCCCCCTTCCCATGATTGCTTTTCCAACTAGGCTTTCACACTTTCAGGATGCAAATGAGCCCTTCCTTGGTGCAAGGAATCTGAGGGAACTGGTTTCTGTGTTCCCATCCACAACTGCCAAGGGGACATTGGGACATTCACCATGGGGAGATGGTAGCTGGAGGGCACCCACATGGAAATGGGAACCTCTCCCTGCCCCAGGGCAGCACCTGCCTGCAGGGAGGGCTGCTGGATGCCTGCCTGCACCTCCCTGCCTGTGCACAGCCCGGGGCTGCCTGCACCTCCTGGGAACTCACAGCAGAGCAGAAGGATGGAGAGCCAGAGGAGAAGGCAGTCACGTGCCGGTTTATTCTGTTTCAGGGGGTGACGGGGATGCAGGGGTTTGCCTCCACGCCCAGGCTGTCAGGAGCCTTGGCCTGGCACGGGGTGGTACGGGCAGTGAGCAGCCCCCAGTGGCATGGCTGGAAGGAGCTGGGGATGCTCTGGACCTCAGGGAGGACCCATCAGAGCTGTACTGGTGCCCTCTCGCTGGCGGTGCAGAGGGTCCGGCGCAGGGATGGGTGCAGGGGTCCTGCTCACCCAAGGGGGTGCGATGGCAGGAGGGTGGGGGCAGACCCAAAATGGCATCTCCCAGCGCAGCTCTCCCTGGCCAGGGCTAGGCTGTGCCTGGAAGAGATGGATGAGGTGGTCAGTGCAGGATGAGCGCTCCCACCCCAAGGGATGGGAGGGCACGGGGGACACAAGCCTCCCCCTTGTCCCCTCCAGGCTGGACCTGCTGCAAGGGCAAGACCTGCATGGGGCTGCTGGGACCCAGGAGGTGGGAGGCTGGGGGGGCCTTACCCCGCAGTGGGGGGACGCACGCCCGACCGCAGTCCCGCAGGCAGCACTTCTGGCCGGGGGGACAATCCTTGTCCTGCAGGCACAGGAGGAGGCACTCGGATGCCCGGTCACCGTTGTTCACAGGGGGACAGAGCCCAGGCCGTGCTGACACATGCGGAGACAGGGAGGGGTGAGGAGCTCACCCCCTGCAGACAGGACACCCCTCTAGGGTGGGGGAACTGCTGCAGTGGGTGAGCCCGTCACCCAGTTCCTGCCCCATAGGGACAGCAGCTGGGTCTCTGCACCCCCATCGCCCCCCAGGAGCATCGCAGTGAGGGGCAATCTCTGGGGAGGGTGGGTACAGCCAAGGGGGTGACAACCCTGGCTGGGGGGGCTCAGCCTGGGATGGGGCAAGGTGAGGACGTGGGGGGAGTCTTGGCTCCACAGGTGGCTTTACCCTCGGTGGGTGGTTTGCAGACGTGGCCGCAGCTGGTGGTGCAGCACTTCGCAGCCCCGGGGCAGTCGCCATCGGTGTCACACAGCTCCAGGCAGGGTCCCACGGAGCCCCGCAGCACCACAGGGCACGCGCCAGGCTTCCCTGCGGCACGGCGGCTCCCTGGGGACAACGGGGACAATAGCTGTGCCGGAATCCTGCTTCCCCCAGCCCTGCCCCTGGCATGGCCTCGGTCTCCATCCTGTCCCCCATCCTGACCCCCATCCTCCCTCCCAGAGCCCAGCACCACCCTCAGCCACCAGCCTCACACCCACACCAGTCTGACCCAGTGAGACCAGTCACAGCCACACGTGGGATGCCAGCTGGCAGCTGGAGCGGTGAGGGACAACCCTGGCCACTCTCCCCACCAGCACCCAGCCCCAGTGGGGCGCAGGATGGGGGTGTCAGGAAGGGGGTGCAGGACTGGGGTGTCAGGATGGGGTGCAGCCCCTCGCCTGCTCGGGGCCATCGCCCACCCGACATGGAGGAGCTGGGCACGGTGAGCCCTTCCTGCAACACCCCAAGGGCCTGATCCTGCGTGGGGGCTCAGGAGGGGCCTGGGGCTGTGCATGGGGTGGGTGCCTGGCACCGGGAGCCACAGCCAGCAGGACATGCTCTCCAGGGCCTGGACAGTTGCCACCAACTGCACACTCGGCCAGGCATGGCCTCTGGGGCTTGTCCAGCAGCACGGCCAGGCACACGCCGGGCTTTGCAGGGGAGGAGGATCCGTGCCCCCATTGGCGTGGCTGCAGGGTGGATGTGGGGCAGCTGTGGGGTGGCCATGGGGCAGCTGTGAGCAGTGCCAGGGGCGTACCCGCTTGGGCAGGGGAATGCAGGTTTGATGAGCCCGGCCCGGGGGAGGAGGGCTGGGGGGGCTGTACCTGTGTCTGGGGGGATGCAGGACAACCCGCAGCCGGAGAAGCAGCACTTGCGGTTCCCGGGGCAGTCCCGGTCGTCGGTGCAGCGGTTGGGGCAGGCAGCAGGGATCCTCCGGGCGTGCTTCCGCGGGCAGAGTCCAGCTTTGGCTGGAGGGGACGGGAGGCTCGGAGCTCAGCGTGGAGCTGGCTTGGCACCACGGCACCCATGTCTCCCCCCCAGAGGGACAGGGGGCTGGCAGCTCCAGCCTGGCGTGGGGACAGCCAGGCTGCCTTACCTGGCTCGGCACGCATGCAGCGGGCGCAGCAGTCGTGGGTGCAGCACTTCTCCCCAGGGCTGCATGACGTGTCGTTGTGGCAGCTCTTCCCGCAGCTCTCCCCACCAAGGCTGCCAGCACGGGGGCAGTAGCCCGGGCTCTCTGCAGAGGGAGATGCTCAGTGCAGCCACATGCCCAGGGAGAGGGGCTTGCACTGTGGGCACCCGACATGGGTACCGACCCCTGCCTGCATCCCACCCGTCACCCTGTCCCCACGCTGGCATGTCTCGAGGAGGGCTGGTGGTACCTGTGGTGGGGAGGAGGCACGTCCTGATCTGCCCGCTCTGGCAGCACTTCTCGGCGCCGGGACAGCCGTGATCGGAGATGCAGTACAGCCTGGGGGGGTGCGGGGACCCGCTCCCCACTGCTGGGCACTCTCCCGCTTTTCGGGGGGCAGGCAGGATGGCAGAGGGCCAGTGTCTCCGTGGGGCCCGCTGTGGTGCCGGGGTGACGGCAGGAACAGTGCCCTGCTTCCCAGTGTGGTGCTGCTGGGCCAGGGTGGGCAGCAGCTCCACAAACAGCACCAGAAGCAGCAGGAGGAGGGTGTGCTCGCCCGGCATCATGCTGCTGTCAGAGGGCTGTGCTGCTGGGTCCCCCAGCTGGGATTTAAACCCTGCTGGGGCAGGGACCAGCCCAGCCGAGCTGCTCCTTCCCACGGCAGCACTCAATCGAGACCGTGGGAGTGCTGGGCACGAACAATCCAGCTCGGGGGAGACTCCCGGGGCTGCGTTGGGCTTGTGGCCCATGGCTGACACATCCTCCATAGTGTGCCCTTTCCAGGTCACCGGTGACCCGCGAGGAGTCGGGCTGGGGGGACGGGCAGCGCTCCCAGAGTCCCACTGCCTGCTGTCCCCAATGGCGAGCAGGGATGGGACACAGGGAAGCAGTGTCATGTCCCCGGTCCTCAGCATCCACCTGGTCCTGCCCAGGGAGCGTCACCGGTCACCTCCCGGCACACATGGAGCTGCTGCAGAGAGCTGAGCTGGGGTGCACTACACTGCAGGGAGAGGGGGAACCAGCCCCGAGCACCGGGCACTGGGCATGGGGCCGTGCTGGGTAGCGTGTGGGGTTCATTCTGCCCCATGGGAGGGCTCTGCCCTCTCCCCTGCCAAAGGCAGGGGCTCTGGGGGTGCCAGCCCCTTGAAGGGATGTGGGACTGCTTTCTCTGGGGCTGGAGCAGGAGTGGGGCGGATGTGGGAGGGCCAGGGCACCAGGAGCCCTGGGGGGAGCAGGAGGTGCCAGGGAGAGCAGGAGCATGGCCCAGCTCTGGACAGACAGGGGAAGGAGGGGGCAAGGGCCCCTAAAGGGTCTCCTTTAGGCTCCTGCCATGGGCTACGTGCCACTACTGGGCTGGGAGCAAGTATGCCAGGAGGAGGTTTGGGCAATGCTCGAGCATTGGCACGCTCTGGCAGCCTCCCTGTCCCCCAGCCATTGCAGAGAGCAGCTTCAGTGGGACACGGATGTGGCAGCACTGCCATGGCCCCAATCGGAGCACGTCTGCACACCGGTGGAGGAGCCCCAGCATGTGGGGCCATGGGGCAGCCCGGGCTGTGGGGCAGCCCTGGGCAGGGGCACAGGCTGAGGGCCCTTAGAGACATGGTGCAGCCAGTCAGCGCTGGCACTTGTGTGCAGCCAGGTGGCCCCAGAAATGGCACCAGTGCCCGGGAGCGGGCAGAGCGGCTGCTGGGCTGGAAGCGCAGCGGGATGGAGAGACGGCCACAAACGCGGCAGGGAGAGGCTGCTTTATTGGTGAGAGTGCGGGGGGCTGTGGCGCACCCCGAGCAGGGGACCCCGGAGAGGAAGCTGAGGATGAAGGCTCTGAGCCAGGAGTGTGGCCGGGCCGGGGGGGGACGGTGCGGGGCCGGGGTCTGGGCGTGTGGGACTCGCATCAGGCAGCAGCTTCCCTGAGGACGGGCTGGCAGGAGGCGGCTGCGCCTGCAAAGGGAGCAGAGGGCCGTGAGTGGGACAGGCACATCAGTGCCATGCCGTGGGTACCGTGGGCTCCCTGGGCTCAAGGTGGGTGCCCAACTGACCTCAGTGGAGAGGCGTCACACAGGAGACCTTGCCGCAGCCGTTCCTGCAGCACTTCTGGTTCCCGGAGCAGTTGGAGTCCGTCTTGCACTGGTTTGTGCAGACGCCCAGCATGGGGATCCCCGGGCTGACGGGCGGGCAGGTGCCGGGCTTCTCTGCAAAGGCAAAGGGACACAGCCTGAGACACACTGGCCCTGGCACGAGGGACAGGGCCAGCCCTGCAGCTCCCAGAGCCCTGGGCATGGCCCTGACCCCTGGTTGCCATGGAGGAGAGATCCCTTTGCCAGCTGGCAGCTCCCCCATCCCGCAGCTCTGCCTGTTGGCACTCTTGCCGGCCTGACACGATGGGGACATGTCAGGGAGGCCACATGATGTGGTGGTCCCCCATGGTCCCCTCTTGCTCAGGGGTGTGTGGCTGTGACAGGATGCGCAGCTGTGACACGCAGCCCCGATGGCAGCTGTGGCTTTCCCCCACACCTGCTACAGACACCCCAGCCATGCACTCATGCCCAGGCGAGGGACGTATGTCCCCCAGACAGCCTCTGCCCCAGTTGCATGGGGTCCCTGCCCTGCCATCCCGCTGCATGCTGCTGCCTGCCGCCAGTGTTGGGCTCCCAGCTTTGCACCACGTTGTCCTCTGCTGTGGCACAGCCAGGCCACCTCTGTCCTTGCAGGCAGCGATGGAGGTACTGGAGCCTCAGGTTCACATCCACGTGTTTGTGGCTGGAGATCCCAAATCCTGTGCCTGCCTGTCCAGGCTGCTCTCTGGCAGGACCGTCACGGGGACCGTACTCGGCTGAGTGGCTGTGGGGCCGTGTCCAGCACAGGGCCAGGGATGACGCCGTTGGGAGACTCATCCCAGACGCAGGGTCAGGAGGCAGGACAGAGCCTGTGTCCCAGGCTTGTGGCTGCTCGTGACGAGGCTGAGCGGGCAGCAAGGGCAGCACAGACCCCTGCCCTCTGCACCCACCACAGCATCTTTTGGAGGTGCCTGCTCAACCCCTGTTTTGCCAGGAGGAGGAAGGGGTGAGTGCGGCCCCCGGCAAGCCTGGGTGGAGGGTGCACCATGCTGGGAGGCCACCCCACAGGAGCACACCCTGCCCCCCCTGCTGGGCTCCCCACACAGCCCCCGATAACCGCCCTGGAGCCGGACATGCAAGGGGTGCCCAGGCCCATGGCCGCTACCGCACCCCAGAGCAGCGGTGCCACCGGCTGGGACGGGCTGTCAGCTTGCAGCAGCGGGGCCGGCTCTGGGCAACGGGGCCAGGAGCAAGAGGGAGCGTTACCGTCGGGCTTCTGGCAGGCCTTGCCGCAGGCCGCCGGGCAGCACTTGAGGGTGCTTTCGCAGTCGCCATCGGACTGGCACCCCACCGTGCAGTTGACTGCTTCCGTCGTCTCTGGGTCCGGGCACACGCCGGCTTTGGCTGCAAGGCAAAGGCGGAGGGCGTGGGCGGGCGCCGGGGCTGCTGGCCCTGCAGCAGGGCAAGGGCTGCCGTCCCCAGGCAGGAGATGCTGCCTCCGGTCCCAAGGGCTGGGTCCAGGGATGCTGCTGAGCCCAACGGCGCCGGGTGCCGGCTGGCTCTCGGCCCCGGCCCCCAACCCCAGCAGGCCCTGGGGCTGGGAGGGATGCTGGCTGCTCGCCCGGGGCGTGCCGAGCCGAGCCCAGCCGTGCCGAGCCGTGCGTTCATACTCACTGGTGACATTCTGGGCGGATGCTGGAGGCAGCTCTGCCCAGAGAGCCAGGAGCCCCGCCAGGACGAGCACGCTGCGGGCCGCGGGCATGGTGTGGGTGCTGGTGCTGCGCCTACGGGGCCGCCCGGCCGGCCTTTAAGCTCTTCTCCAGGTGGGGCCGGCGGGCGGGAGAGGGCTCGGCCTTCCGGGTGGCTCCCAAGGGCCGGGCAGGGCCAGGCTCCCCCTTCGTGCTTGCACAACCCGAGTATCAGGTATCTGCCGCTGCTGGCTGCCGACCAGGAAGGGGGGAGCCTCGAGGAGACCGGCCGGCCATGCCGAAAACTTGCCCGGCAGGAACAGCCACCGGGAGCCACCGGCCCCTGGCCCCCCGTGGGCTGCACACTGGACCCCGACTGTCTCCGTCCCCTTGGGCAGCCAGGGCGTAGGGCTGCCATGGTCCCATGTGAGGCTCAGCCACCGGAGGCCGTGGGGATGCAGCTGGTACCACCGGTGGCACCGGGGACATGGCAGGATCCATCCCCACCACCGCCTCGGCCACGGTCGCAGCTCAGTTGGAGCCCCCCAGCCTGGGCCACTGATAGCCAGAGGCCAGGATAAGCCAGCGGCGTGGCTTGGGCCTGTGGCTCAGTGGCAGCTACAGCTCGCCCAGCTCCTGCTCCAGCCTCTTGTCCTCCTCCAGCTCTCGTTCCTCGGCTGAAGGGCCCTCCAGGCAGCCTGTGCCTCTGGGCAGGCGCCCGCCCCGGGGTTCCCCTGTGCCTCCCCTGCAGCTTCGGGAGCTCCTTCTGCCTGACTGCAGCCTCATCCCATGGCCCCTCTCCTCCTCTCAGCCTCCAACAGCCCCGGGGACGTGGCCTGGACCAGCCGGCAGCGCCGGTTGGGCGAGTGGCTGGCGGGAAGCGAGCTGCTGGTGTGCTCTGGCTGCGCGCCCGGTGCTGCAGGGCATGGTGGTAATGGGGGGCCATGGGACCCCCATACCCCCTCGGCCTGGCAGCTATCGGGATACCCCTCCCGTGGCACATGTGCTGCCCTCGGGCTGGCCGGGATGCTTCGCGGCGCCTGGCAGCATCGAGCTGGGGTTTGTTTGGGTAGGCCCAGCCAGCTGAGCAGCCCTGGTCACCCCGTGTGGTGGCCCTGCTCACATCAGCGTTTGCTGCTCAGCCAGTTCCTGTCTCCTCCGCAGGTGCTGTCGGTGATGACTTTAATTCCTCGGGGCTGCTGGCAGGAGGGGAGCATCCCAGCACTCCGGCAGGACAACCTGAGGACGCCAGCTCCTTTGCTTGTGGCTCCCAGTTGGGGCTCAATGCTGTGGGTCGTTTGGCTGCCATCACGATGCCGGTCCCTCTGTGTGGTGCCGGTGATGCCCGACCGGGTCATGGGCTGGACCCCTCTGCTGGGAGGCAATCCCAGAGCATCCCAGCTCCTTGGGCCCCATCCGGGGCACAGCCACAGGCTGAGCCTCTCCTGCACAGGGAGGACAGTGAGACCTGCCCTGTCCCCGGTGATGATGTGCCCTTGTCACTGGCAGAGGCTCCATGGGCAGCCCCAGCTCCGGGCTGGAGCATCCCACAGCCCTGCGTGAGTCAGGGGTGCCCAGGGCCGGAGATACGGTCCCTGCCCTGAGTCACGAGCCAGCGTCTGCTCTGCCGGGATCCGTCTCCAGGTAATTTAACCCCACAGTCAACAATGCAGCGCAGAGCGGAGTGGCAGTAAATCAGTAACTGTTTGCCTTTGCCTGCAGTTCCCTCCCCGCCACGGGTGTTTATGCAGTAACAGGAGCCGCTGCGGATGGCCCAGCCGCCTGCCCAGCCGCCGCTCTGTGCTTCACTGCCTTTGGCAGCGGGAGCCAACGCTTGGGTACAGGGGACAGGCCTGGGGCAGCGGGGAAAACAGCAGGACAGTCCTTATCCATGCACCTTCCATGCTAGGATGCTCAGAGGCTGGGTGACAGGGAGCTGCCGGGGAGGCTGCCAGGACCTGGCCACGCTCGGGCTGGCTGGCTGGTCCCCGCTGGGGACAGCACTTCAGGAAACTGAGCTGGGCTGACGTTTCGAGCCCAGGGCCAGTGCTGGGACTCCCTGAACAAAGGCAACCCTGTTGCAGCCCGGTGGCCCCTGTGCCAGGGCTTGGAGCACACTGTTTCGGTGGCCGGGGTGAGATGAGGGTGATAATGTGGCCATTGGAGGTGTGAACGTCGGCTGGGTGGTGCCCTCCAGGGTGGAGATGACGGACCCACACTGTCCCTACCTCTGCTGCACAGGGACAGAGCCCACCTAGACCCAGTGGTGGCATCCCTGGAGCAGAAATGCTGCTGCCAGTCCAACGCTGCCCACACAGACGCTGTCCCTGTTGTGACTAAGCTGCTGCTCCTCTGCTGGCGTTCGCCCTTGAGAGCTGTTGCCTTGGTCTGACCCTGAAATTGCTCTGGCCCAGCCTGTGGGATGACCTTGGCGCTGACAGTGAGCAGCCGGAGCTGGGAGGCTGCGAGAGTGAATGCCAGCAGCCGGGCTGCACCGGAGCAGCAGGATGGGAGCAGGCGGGAGCCCAGAAACGGGCTCGTGGCAGGAGACAAAGGGGAAACCATGGAGGAAGGTGAGAGCTGCGGGGAGCAGTGTGGGCGTTGGCGGGTTTGCCCAAGGTTGTGCCTTGGCCCTGGCATGCCCAGCTGGCTGCCAAGTGCCCGATCCACTAGCCCTGCTGCCAGCACGTTCAGTCCCTCTCCAGCTGCCCCAGCTGGCCAGTGGCTGAGCCGGGCTCCAGCCCACGCAGTCGGCATCACTTTCCGGAAGACAGAAATGCTTTGGCTCCTGTCCCCAATGTGTGGCATTCAGGATGCTGCTGTCCCCACCCTGTGTCTGCCAGGTACTTCCTCGACAGAGGCCGAGGATGACTGTGGGCAGCGCGGGGGGTCTGCCTGTGCAGCTGCAGGCAGCCATCCCCGTGCCAAAGCACGTCCTGGGGGAGGATCCTGGCTGAGGACGTGGGATCAGCAGCCCCGAGCCTGACCCCCAGGGCTCTTCCCTGCAGCATCCCTCGGTGACAGTGCCTGCCACTGCTGAGCCCGGTCACGCTGACTGCACCCAAGCCCCATGACTGCACCCAAGCCCCATGAGTGACCGAGGCTGCTTCATGGCAGCAGGGAAGGGGCTGGAGTCACGTCTCCCTGCCTGCCGTGGGAGGGCAGTCAATGATTAAAAGGAGAGCGTTGCTGGGCCAGGCAAGGTGCCCCCGGAGCCCGCACGGAGCAGAGAAAGGAGAGGACAGCGATAAAGAGGGACACCCCTTCCTCTGGGACACATCGGGCCCCAGCAGTCAGCAGCTCAGTGCCTGCCACTGCTGAGCCCGGTCACGCTGACTGCACCCAAGCCCCATGACTGCACCCAAGCCCCATGAGTGACCGAGGCTGCTTCATGGCAGCAGGGAAGGGGCTGGAGTCACGTCTCCCTGCCTGCCGTGGGAGGGCAGTCAATGATTAAAAGGAGAGCGTTGCTGGGCCAGGCAAGGTGCCCCCGGAGCCCGCACGGAGCAGAGAAAGGAGAGGACAGCGATAAAGAGGGACACCCCTTCCTCTGGGACACATCGGGCCCCAGCAGTCAGCAGCTCAGGGTCCCCACGCTGCGTGCAGGGACAGGGAGTTAATTTGAACCCTCTGGGACCCAGCCGTGTACCCAGCTGGCAGCCAAAGGCCAGTGCACCCCACGGGCAGGGCTGCCATGTCCTACTGCTGCCACCAAGCCCTCCCCGCCTGCCACACAGACCGCGGTGGCCCCTCTCCATGCTGCAGAGCTGGAGCCTCACACCTTGGTGACAGTGTGTGGCCGGGGCCACCCTGGCCCATTGTGGGGTGCCCTGGAGCCAAGGATGTCCCTGGCTCTGTGCCAGTGTGATTGGTCCTACCCATTCATCGTACGTGGCACCCCCAGTCAGGACCAGCCCTGCAGCGCCCCGAAAACCGGTGGGACGCAGCCACCCTGTGCCCCCCAAGCACTCACCCATACCCCCGGCAGCCGCAGTGGCCAGCTGCAGCTGGGCACACAGGGCGAGGATGCCCAGGAACAAAATGCCAGCGGTCTTCATGGTGCTCCCCGTGGGTGCCAGATGGCCAGCGCGGGTCGGAGGGGGTTTATATCTGCGCGGGGCCGGGGAGGGGCCACCACACACATAACCTTCGGGTACCGAAACTCTTGTTGCGTTTCACAGTTGCGCCCGAGGCAGTGACAGCCCCACGACATGTTGTTGTCTGAGAAATCATTTACCACGGCCCCGTTCCAGCCCCAGTGGCCAGGCTACAGCCAGGGTGGGGACGCCAGCACCCAACAGCACCCTGTCTGGGGGAAAGAGAGACACGGGTCGTGGGCCAGGGACACCCCAGTGGCCATGGGGAGCCCAGAGGAAGGGGTTGGAGCTCTCTGGCTTGGAAAAGAGGGGACAGAAGGGACAAGGAGAAGACATCTACCTCCAGAGTGGCTCGAAGGGTGCAAATAGGAGTTTCTTCCCATGGCTGCAGGGGCTGGGGGTGCTGGGGAAGACCCGTGGGTGAGGAGCAGAAGGTGGTTGGTCTCCTCACCGAGATGTGGGACTCAACACTGCAGAGATCAAGCACTGCCCAGGTGTGACAAGCAATTAGATGAGTCCATGGGACAGGAACCCAGGGAGGACTGAGGAGGAGGATGATCGCCCTGGGGAGTCCTGGCAGTGCGTGACAGGAATGTCTTGCAATGGAGCTGCAGGACAGTCTGTCCCTAGACCCTGCCTACCCCAGTCCCAGCCTGGTGCCAGCATCCTGCTGTGTCTGCCCATGGAGCTGCAGGTGACAGCTGACCGGGTCCCCATGGGCGAGTGTGGCCTCAGGGGGAGCAGAGCGTGGGAAGCCTGTGCGACGTGCCAGGCTGGGCGCACCCGCTGCCCCGCGCCGTGCACCGAGCACCATTCCTCTGCGGGGACAGGTGGGCGGCTGGTGCCGTCACGTCGGCCGGCTGCAGGCGGGTGCTCCAGCGGGGTCAGCACCGGGGCTGCCTTTCACCCCGCCGTGCACCGGGAGCGGCAAGAGGCAGCTCTGGATGGGGTGGGGAAGCCCAAGGTTAACATTGTGGGGAGGTTGCAGAGAGCCCCACGCAGCCAAGCGTGCGAAGGGTGGTGGTGCCAAGGGGGAGGTGTGCTCTGTGCCCATGGGAACCCCATGGTGCTGCTGTTGCTGCGCCCCAAGACTCTGCTGAGAGAGGCCTTTGCTCCCTGCTCACCGTCCCATAGGATGTGGGGGCACGGCCAGGTGCGTGCATCCCTACTGGGGGTGCGCCGTTGCACCGCTCACTGCTGAGTTGTGGCCATGCTGGCACAGCTCGCCATGTCCCACCAAATGGTGAAGGGCACTGGCGGGTGCTGCCAGCAGATCGGGCACAGGCAGCCCAGGGGGGTTGGCAGGGCTGCAGTGAAGGAAGTGGGGCAGCTTGTGGTGGTGGTGGGCAGAGAGGGGCAGGACCTGGGTTTTTGAGGGGCTGGTGGAAGAGGCTGGTCCTCTGCTGGAGCTAGAGATGGGGAGAAAGGCCTTGGCCGGGGTCCTGGTGTGCAGGGAAGGACAATCCCTGCCTGGGGGTTTGTCACAGGGCGGGCCTGACTGGAAAGAGGCTTTGTACTGAGGCTGACGTGAGCTCTGCAGTTTCATCCAGGGTTTTACAGCCCGACGAGCGTTATTTCCCCACTTGGAAATTCCTGTTTGCATCATCTTGGCTCCAAGTGGCCAAATGCACTTGTTGCTACAGACACTCTGGGTCTGAAATGAAGGAAACCTTTAGCAAGAGAACTGAGGGCTGGGAAAGCAGTCCTGTCCCCAGTTTATATGCACGGGGGTCCCTCTGAGTGACACTTTTGCCCCGATGTGGCATGTGGAGATGCGGGAGTCACTAGCCTTCAGCTGGCGCTGGCATCTCCTTGCTCTGGGGCCTTCGGCCTCGCACCCTTCCTCCCCTGGCTGCCACATGCCCCTTGTGTGTTACTGCGTGTTGCTGTGTGCTGTTAAGGAGGGGGTGTTCGTGTCCCACAAGCACACAGCAGCTGTGAAGCCTGGCATGTCCTCCTGCCACCGTGTCCTGGCCGTGGGGAACAAGCCCCCCTCAACCTGTGCAGCCCCCTCCCTGCCTGCAGCCCCCCCTCCCTGCTGTGCCCTGGCTGGGGCTGCGCAGCCCCCACCCCTGTGCCCCCACCAGCGATGTCTCGCAGCTCCGTGGGCTCCGTGGGCCCATCCCGGCGGAGCATCCCGGGTGACGACCGGCAGAGGAGGCTGTTGCTCCGTCAGAGCGGGCCGGGCCGGGATGGGGAGCGGGGACCGGCTCCTCCGGTCTTGGGGAGCCCCGTGCCCGGAGGCGGGGGCCGGCGTGGGGCGCTGTGCCAAGCCCGGGCCGGGCCCGGTGCTCCCGGGCTGTATTTAAGGGGCAGCGGGCGGCGAGGATGCAGAGCCATGAAGCCTGAGATGCTCCTCCCGCTGCTGCTCCTGCTGGTCCTCCCGGCCCCCCCGTTGGCCTCGGGTCAACTCCTTCAAGGTGAGCCCCGGGCTGGGGATGCCCTCTGAGGTCTGCCCCGCTCCCCGACACCGCCCCGGTGTCCCCTAGACCCTCTGATGGGGGATGTCACAGCCTCCGAGCTGGGACATCCCACCGGGACACCCCGCGGTCCCCGTTGCTGCAGAGTCCCCATCTGAGTGGCGGGGCTGGACCCCCCTGGGGAGGTGTCCCCCCACCCCATCTCACCCACCGGCAGCTTCCGAGGTGCCAGGTGGAGCCGGCTCTGAAGGTGGTGGGTCCCCCGGTGTTCTGCACCGTGATGTGTCCCCGCTGCCGGGGCAGGACACGTCCCGGCCATGCCACCCCCTCCCAGACTGGGGGTGGCCCTGCCCGCACAACATAACCCCCTGCCCGTTCTCCCAGGGAGGTATGACCTGTGTCGCCCACCCGTCAAGTTCCTCCCGAGGCCCTGTGACAACTTCTGCTCCTCAAATGATGACTGCCCGGGCAGCGAGCGCTGCTGCAGCACCGGCTGTGGACGGGAATGCTGGCTCCCCCAAAGAGGTGGGGGGGTCCCTTTCGCCCCCCCAAGGAGCCCTGAATGAGCTTATGCTCTGCCCTCCAAGGTGGTGGTGGTGGGGTGATGGGCTGCAGCCACCTTGGGCAGTGGGTCCTGCAGCCCTGCCGGCCCCCACACCCCGTCCTGGCATGTGGATGAGATGCCCTGGGTCTGGGATCTTCCGAGCACAGCCGTTGCCTGTGGGGTGCATCACCCACCCCTGCTCTCAGCCCTGGTGCCGGGGGACAGGGGTACCTGTTGCTCCTTGCCCACAGGACCCTGGGGGTGGGCACCCTTGGGGGTGGGCTGGGTGGTGGGAGCAGGCAGAGGCTGGTAGGGCTCTAACCTTGCTGACCATTTCTAGCCAAGAGGGGCTCCTGCCCGCAGTCAGAACCTGGCCTGATCACCACGTGCGATGTGCGCTGTAGCTCTGACAGCGAATGCCCAGGCGACATGAAGTGCTGCCACTGGGGCTGCAGCATCAGATGCATGAAGCCGGTGCTAGGTAAGGGCTGCCAGGGGGCTCGGTGGGAGGGGGGCCACGGCCACCACAGATTCTGACTGTGAGCTGGTGTCCTTTCCCACCCGTAGCCAAACCAGGTGTCTGCCCCAGAAGAAAGGTGCTGCAGACCTTCGCCCCCTGCACAAACTCATGCCGTGATGACTCCGACTGTCCCGGACGTACCAAGTGCTGCTTCACGGGCTGTGGCCTCGGCTGCCTTCCTCCCAACAGAGGTAACACGGCCCTGCTCCTGCCCACTGGCTGGGGCCACCACCCGGGTCCTGCTGCCTCCAATAGTCCCATGTCCTCAGGTGACATCTGTCACCTCCCACCCGTGCCGGGGACGCTTCTGTCACTATGCCTACAACCCTTCCCATGGGGACCTGCCAGCTGTTCATCTACAGTGGCTGGGGGGGGAACCCCAACAATTTCAGGACAGTGGAGGAGTGCCCAGCAGGTCTGCCACAAACCAGACCGAGCCGGACTGGGCCAGACTGGGCCGGACTGGGCTACCCCTGCCTGGGCAGAGGGTGGGAGCGCAGAGCTGTGTTGGTTGAAAATGGGCAGCCGGTCCCCGAGGAGTGAGTGTGGCCTTGTCATGGCAGGGAGAGCAGCAGCATCCCACGTCGCCCTGGCACACGGGTGTTTATGCTGGGTGGTTTCAACCAACTCGCGGGTCCGTGCTGGGAGCTGGCGTAGTCTTTGGTCAGAGCCAGGCAATAGCGTTAGGAATTGGAATTTTTACAGCCCAATTACCAAATCAGGAAACCTGACCAGGCGCTGGCAGGTGGAAGAGCCAGCTTTTGCCATGTGCCTTTCCACATCCCTGCCAAACACGTTTGGCACAGGGTGTGCATTTGGGAAGGCTGGTGGAGCCGCAGTGACACCCATGGGTGCGGAGAGGGGGGCTGGAACCATGTGGACACTCACCTGGTTGTGACACTCGTTTCCGAGCAGAGCCACAGGCAGTTGGGGCTGTTGGTGGTTGAGCTGCTCGGCTTCCCTGGCACGGCAGCTGTATGTCCGTGCAACACCGGAACACGATTGCTGCTCCCGGCCGTGCCACAGCCCTGGGGGTGTGAGCCAAGGGGGCAGCCCGTGCCCGGGGCTGGGGGGCAGACGCCGTAGGGGGTGAAGGCACCGGGGGTGAGTGCAGCAGCCAGTCTGGGGCCGGCTCTGCTCCCCAGTGCCAGCACCCTGCTGCCTCCCCCGACTGCCTGCACCACCCTTCCTCACCATCACCTTTTGTCCCCCAGGGAGATACGGGGAGTGACCCCAAGGAGGAAGCAGCGCTGGAGCACAGCAGGGCCCCTCCGTGGGCTCAGCAGCCTGGGGGCCGGGGTCTGTGGTGATGCTGGCTGCCGTGCTCTGCCCCATGCAATAAAGTTGCCAGGACGCCTGGCTTGCAGCAGCCCAGTCTCCTTCACTGCGTCTCTGTGGTGCCAGCAGCTCCACGTGCTGCCCAGAGTTTGGCCAGTGCCCGGAGTCCACAAGGTACTTCCTGAGGCTCTGTGACGACTTCTGCTCCTCAAATGATGACTGCCCGGGCAGCGAGCTCTGCTGCAGGACCGGCTGTGGACGGGAGTGCGTGCTCCCCAAAGGAGGTGAGGAGGTGCCTTCTTCCCAAAACAAGCCTGTGCTCTGCCCCCCAAGGTGGTGGTGGTGGTGGGGTGATGGGCTACAGCCACTTTGGGCAGTGGGTCCTGCAGCCCTGCCAGCCCCCACACCCTGTCCTGGCATGTGGACGAGATGCCCTGGGTCTGGGATCTTCCGAGCACAGCCGTTGCCTGTGGGGTGCATCACCCACAAGGGCTGGCATGGGTGGCCCCTGCACCCACCCCTGCTCTCAGCCCTGGTGCCGGGGGACAGGGGTACCTGTTGCTCCTTGCCCACAGGACCCTGGGGGTGGGCACCCTTGGGGGTGGGCTGGGCGGTGGGAGCGGGCAGGGGCTGGTAGGGCTCTAACCTTGCTGACCATTTCTAGCCAAGAGGGGCTCCTGCCCGCAGTCAGAACCTGGCCTGATCACCACGTGCGATGTGCGCTGCAACTCTGACAGCGAATGCCCAGGCGACATGAAGTGCTGCAGCGTGGGCTGCCAAGTCCAATGCGTGAAGCCAGAGCCAGGTAAGGGCTGCCAGGGGGCTCGGTGGGAGGGGGGCCACGGCCACCACAGATTCTGACTGTGAGCTGGTGTCCTTTCCCACCCGTAGCCAAACCAGGTGTCTGCCCCAGAAGAAAGGTGCTGGAGACCTTCGCCCCCTGCAGAAACTCATGCCATGACGACTCCGACTGTCCCGGGCGTAACAAGTGCTGCTTCACGGGCTGTGGCCTCGGCTGCCTTCCTCCCAACAGAGGTAACACGGCCCTGCTCCTGCCCACTGGCTGGGGCCACCACCTGGGTCCTGCTGCCTCCAATAGTCCCATGTCCTCAGGTGACATCTGTCACCTCCCACCCGTGCCGGGGACGCTTCTGTCACTATGCCTACAACCCTTCCCATGGGGACCTGCCAGCTGTTCATCTACAGTGGCTGGGGGGGGAACCCCAACAATTTCAGGACAGTGGAGGAGTGCCCAGCAGGTCTGCCACAAACCAGACCGAGCCGGACTGGGCCAGACTGGGCCAGACTGGGCCGGACTGGGCTACCCCTGCCTGGGCAGAGGGTGGGAGCGCAGAGCTGTGTTGGTTGAAAATGGGCAGCCGGTCCCCGAGGAGCGAGTGTGGCCTCGTCATGGCAGGGAGAGCAGCAGCATCCCACGTCGCCCTGGCACACGGGTGTTTATGCTGGGTGGTTTCAACCAACTCGCGGGTCCGTGCTGGGAGCTGGCGTAGTCTTTGGTCAGAGCCAGGCAATAGCGTTAGGAATTGGAATTTTTACAGCCCAATTACCAAATCAGGAAACCTGACCAGGCGCTGGCAGGTGGAAGAGCCAGCTTTTGCCATGTGCCTTTCCACATCCCTGCCAAACACGTTTGGCACAGGGTGTGCATTTGGGAAGGCTGGTGGAGCCGCAGTGACACCCATGGGTGCGGAGAGGGGGGCTGGAACCATGTGGACACTCACCTGGTTGTGACACTCGTTTCCGAGCAGAGCCACAGGCAGTTGGGGCTGTTGGTGGTTGAGCTGCTCGGCTTCCCTGGCACGGCAGCTGTATGTCCGTGCAACACCGGAACACGATTGCTGCTCCCGGCCGTGCCACAGCCCTGGGGGTGTGAGCCAAGGGGGCAGCCCGTGCCCGGGGCTGGGGGGCAGACGCCGTAGGGGGTGAAGGCACCGGGGGTGAGTGCAGCAGCCAGTCTGGGGCCGGCTCTGCTCCCCAGTGCCAGCACCCTGCTGCCTCCCCCGACTGCCTGCACCCCCCTTCCTCACCATCACCTTTTGTCCCCCAGGGAGATACGGGGAGTGACCCCAAGGAGGAAGCAGCGCTGGAGCACAGGGCCCCTCCGTGGGCTCGGCAGCCTGGGGGCCGGGGTCTGTGGTGATGCTGGCTGCCGTGCTCTGCCCCATGCAATAAAGTTGCCAGGACGCCTGGCTTGCAGCAGCCCAGTCTCCTTCACTGCGTCTCTGTGGTGCCAGCAGCTCCACGTGCTGCCCAGTGCCTTCCCGCTTCCATTCCTGGCACATCCACGTGCCACTGGAGCCGTGAGCCCAGAGTCTGGCTCAGCCCAGGGACCCTGTACCTGGCACGCAGGGTGTGGGCTTGCTTGGGGTGGCACGTGGCTCCAACTGGCCCCTCATTGCCAGCTCTCAGCCCGCATTCCCCCAGCAGGCAGCCAGTGTGGGGGCCCTGGCACCTCTCATGGCCGCAGAGAGCTGGGCAGCACCAGCTCTGGTGTGAAATGTCCCTCCTGGACATGTCCCCTTCCCTCGCCCATGGGGACAGCCCCGTGGTGGTGCCCTGGCCCGGTGCCCACAGCAACTTGCTCCCACCTTGGTCCCTGGGCAGAGCACAGCCAGGGGACGTGGGGGATGCCACCATGCCAGGGGTGGGACAGGCCGGCAAGACAGGGGCCTAGAGGTCTTTCCCCAGAAACACCTCCTGTCAGCGCTCATATCCTCATATTAATTTGCTAATTAGTGAGAGCCCAGAGAGAGGAACGGGGACCCTCGGGTTGGGCTCGGGGGGTGGACGGAGCAAGGGGGGGGCACTGGGTCCCCTGTGTCAGGTGTGGCAGCTGCTGGGCACGGGGGTGATGAATCATGGAGCGGCTGCGGGAGAGCCCTCAGTCTGGGCATCGCTCTGGGGATCACTAGGGAACTAGTGCCAAACTGGTGGGTGATACCCACCCACTCTGGCAGCATCTCGGTGCCACCAGGCCCCCAGGGACAGCAGTGGGGAGCTGGGGAGCTGGGGCTGGGGGGCAGGAGCGTCTCAGAGGTGGCATTTACTCGGGGGGAGCGGCAGCGGGACGGTGCTGTGCATGCTCCCCCCCCCAGGCGCCACTGGCTGTGGCCGCTGGCGAGCTCTGCAGGCAGAGACAGCGAGGAACTTGAAACAGAAAAGATGAAAACCTCCTGAAAGTGCCCATTTATTATTCATCTCCCTCCCCACCTGCTCCCGCGCGGCCCCGAGCTGGCGCCGCAGCTGCTGCTGGCTCCGAGAGGAAAGTCCCTGTGTGGGGCAGGCAGGAGGGGCAGCACCCCATCCCCAGGACCCTGTCCCCCCATCCCCAGACCCAGTGGGGGCTGCGACTGCGGGCAGGGCTGCAGCGTGTGGCCCCAGGGCAAGGAGGGTGCCCAGCCCAGGCAGGGTGATGCCCCTTCCAGCCCCCTCCTTGTCCCCCACAATCCAGCTCTTGGGATTTAAAGGCTGCTCCCTCCATCGCAGCTCTAAGAGCTCCTGTCCATAACCGCCGGCTGTGGTGAGACTGAGATGCTGGCACGGGAGTACTGGTTGCCCGCGGGCAAGCGGCAGCCCTGGCCCCGTGGCACAGCCCAGCTGGTGGCATGGCCACGCACGGCGTGCCGGCTGGCGGCACGGGGAAGGCGGCCTCCCAAAATGGGGTATTTATTACAGCCATACATCACGGTGGCGGCCTGATGCGGGCAGACGGTGGTGATTTTTCTCCGTGGTTTACAGACAAATGAGGGGAAGGAAAATTGATGTGAACTTTGCTCCAGCGAGAGGTCGGGCGCGGGCAGGGAGCTGGTTATGGATGAGATGGGGGCTGCTGGGGCTGCCTGCCCCCGGGCACCTCCCAGCCCCCTTCTCTGGGCTGGATGGATGGGAGCACTGGCAGTGGCAGGAGCAGGAGGACTGCATCTGCTATGGGGACTGTGTTGCTGCTCTGGGGGACTGGAGGAGAAGGAGGGTCCGGAGAAGGGGGGTCCGGAGGAGAAGGGGGGTCCAGCTTCTCCAGCCCCCCATCACCTGCAGCATGGCCCTGAGCAGGTGGCTGTGCCCATCCCTCATCGGGACTTGGCTTGGCTGCTCGGGGCAGGGGACCACGTGGGCTGGGTTATTAATTGCAGCAGATATTCATTAGTACTGCAAACGCAGGTCGGGTGTGCAGCGTCGGGTGGGCTGTTCTCACTGGCTTCTGGCAAGATCTCAACTGCTTTTAACAACCAAAGTTGCCTCCAAACACCATGGTCCTGTCCGGTATAAGATAACAGTTAGTACTTTCAAATATTGACTATCAACTTCTCCATAAGGCCCATAAATATTAATACAATTCTAATTAGTTCCTTTAAATACATTGTCTAAATTAAGCATTTCCTCGGCAAGAAATCAGCGGTGGTTTGGCACCCTGCTCCCACCCATTAAGCAGATCACGAGCTCTCCCTGCCTGCCTCATGGCCAGCCCCTGCCTGCCAGGGGACGGGACAGTCTGGGTCTGTGCCGTGCCAACGCGAGGGCTGGCAGTGCTCCTGCTTCGGGAGTTTCAAGCTTTGGGATGGGGAAAGGTTTTGGGGCTGGAGCAGGGTCATCCCTGAGGCTCCTCCTGCAGCCTGGACGTTTTCAGGGCCAACGAATGCCTGGTGGGCTCCAGCCCTGTCTCTCATCCCACGTCCCGAGGACAGTGGCCGGTGCCACCGACAGGATCTTGTTAAGTGACTGTAAGAGCGTGGTTTGAAAGCGCCTGATAAAATACCTCTTAAGGGCCCCACAGTCACAGATATAAAAATAAACCAACCATTAGATTCCAAAGAGGAAAGGAAGCCGAGGTTTCACTGAACAAGCAGAAAGTGCCCTGTGACTTTAATCAGGAGTAATATCGTTAATACATTATTCCACAGGTGCACCCAGGTTTGCATTCCCAGCAATTTGCACAAGAATGAGGCGAGCTGACCATGCCTCACCCCGGCAGCAATCACCTCCAAATTGATGGCACCGTGCTGGCGAGCTCGGCTGAAAGCTTGTCTCCTTCAGCTGCAGCCGTGCTGTGTGTCCCCAGCAGTGCTGTGTGTCCCCAGCGGTGCCACGTGTCCCCAGCCATGCTGTATGTCCCTAGCCGTGCTGTGTGTCCCCAGTGCTGCTCTGTCCTGGCTGCCCCATCACACCCGCAGCCCTGAGAAGGGCTGGGAGCCTCGGGGGCTGCATGGCTGCAGGGAGCACTAGCCATGTGCCCAGGCAAGCCCACTGTCACCACCGTGGAGCCTGGCTGGGTGCTCCTGCCCCGTGTCTTCATCCAGCCTTCATCCCCAGCTCTGAGTCCTCCTCCTGGGAGGTGGCAGTGGTGGCCGTCCTGCTCAGACCATCCCCTTAACTCGTCGAGAGAGAATCCCTTCAAAGGTGCCTGTGTGTGCACGTGGTGGGGAGGGGTCAGCGTGTGCGAGGGTGAGTGTGAACACAGGGGCGTGCAAGGGATGAGCGAGCGCAGGGTGAGAGCGCAGGATGCAGATCTGAGCAGGGGGACACATGGCACACATCCTCCCCACTCTCTGGCATTGGTGGCCACTGGAACAGAGCCAATAGCCAAACTCATTTGCTTGAGGAGAAATTAATACGGTGTGAAGCCTGTAGTGGGTGATTTAAGAAGTGAATTTAAAATCTCAACACAAATAGATTTTTTTATAAGGTCAGAAGAAAGATTAAACGCTACAGACAAGCACAGCGCTTGCCATTTCCAGCGTTGCTTGCACCATAAATATTTTTGGGCTGGCGCCATGTCCCTGCGCTGCCCACGTGGGTCAGAACCCACTCGCCCCGAGCAGGGACATCCCCGGGGAGGGCCCAAGCCGTGGTGCCAGCCTGGCGAGGGGTGAGCCCGCTGCTGGCTTCCCTCCCCACCGCCCGGCAGGGACCAGGATTGATGGCGAGAGATTTGAAAGGCTCCAAATGTGGAGGTTATATCGCTGAGCCACCCCCATCCATCAGGAGACGTTCATTATTAAGTAACACCCTGCACGCCGGGCTGATTTCACACTTTATCTGAACCCAGAGCTCCAGCCCACGCAGTCGGCATCGCTTTCCGGAAGACAGAAATGCTTTGGCTCCTGTCCCCAATGTGTGGCATTCAGGATGCTGCTGTCCCCACCCTGTGTCTGCCAGGTACTTCCTCGACAGAGGCCGAGGATGACCGTGGGCAGCGCGGGGGGTCTGCCTGTGCAGCTGCAGGCAGCCATCCCCGTGCCAAAGCACGTCCTGGGGGAGGATCCTGGCTGAGGACGTGGGATCAGCAGCCCCAAGCCTGACCCCCAGGGCTCTTCCCTGCAGCATCCCTCGGTGACAGGGCCTGCCACTGCTGAGCCCGGTCACGCAAAGAGGTGTCTTTGTACTGAGGCTGACGTGAGCTCTGCAGTTTCATCCAGGGTTTTACAGCCCGACGAGCGCTTATCTGAACCCAGCAGCTGTGCCCTAAATCCTGAGCGCCGCGACTGTCTGGAGGAATTCGGCTGCCTGTGCTTAAAATTAGTGTTAGCATCTATCATTTCCCCACACCAAATGGCTTTTGTGTCGGCACTTGGCAGCGCTCATCCGTCACCGGGGCGCTGGGCTGCCCAGCTCCGTACCCTCTCCGTCACTGTCACAGGAACCCCTCGTTGGCAAAATGTCGCCCAAAGGACAAGTGCAACAGCTTGGTCTCTCCCTTCCACCCAGCCGGGTGGCACTGCTGGTGGGGATGATGTCCTCCTCCATTTAGAACCCGAGAAGTCCCCCTGTACTGGGCACCGGTGAGACCCCACCTCGAGTGCTGTGTCCAGTTTTGGGCTCCCTGCCACAGGAGGGACATTGAGGTGCTGGAGCGGGTCCAGAGAAGGGCAACGAAGCTGGTGAGGGGTCTGGAGCACAAGTCTTACGAGGAGAGGCTGAGGGAGCTGGGGTTGTTCAGTCTGGGGAAGAGGAGACTGAGGGGAGACCTCATCGCTCTGTACAAGTACCTGAAAGGAAGCTGTAGAGAGACGGGGCTCAGTCTCTTCTTCCAAGTTACAGACGATAGGACAAGGGGTAATGGCTTCAAGTTGCACCAGGGGAAGTTCAGGTTAGATATTAGGAAACATTTCTTTACTGAAAGGGTTATCAGGCATTGGAATGGGCTGCCCAGGGAGGTGGTGGAGTGACCATCCCTGGAGGTAT